AAACAAGCAATGGTTTGGCAGATGAAGTTAGTGAGGGATAACCGTAGGGAGTATACCAAATGGTTGGTACCGTCGGCAATAGTTTATTCTGCGATTCCTCATCACTAAGGGGAGTGCCGCATAGAAAATTTTGATGACTGTCTTCTAGGGGGGGTATATACAAGAAGTGAAACGGTAAAGTGCGGTAATTCTCAAAATAATTTTTTCGACCATTCGCCCGGCGGCTATCTGTCTGTCTGTCTGTCTGTCTGTCTGCGTGTGTATGTACGGAAATTCAGCATCACCTAAAGAGAGAGTTTGATGGGCTGGGCCAGGGGTGGGTTGGGTAGGGCATGGAACAAGAACCACGGAGCACAGATAAACTGAGCTGACGAGGTAGGTCGTTTCGGGCGTGCTCCGCTTTTCCGAAGTGGTCCTCCGTATTTTGCAATTGTTATCACTTGGCCCCCGTAAGTGGGTTTATTTTCGCAGAGCGGTCACAGGAACGCCGCAGTTGGAGTGAAAATTAAGCCTCTGTATCCTTATATAAGAGATGTTCAGCGTCAGCTACTGACGCCAAACTGCGTCGGCGGAAAAAATAAGTGTCAAAATCGCGAACAGGACCCTGAAAACTTTGAGCCAAAGGATTTTTTTTTGTTTTTTTCGAGTTACGGTAGACCATTTAGTCGGCGGCAGTGGTCACTGTAGTGTCCATCTTCACTGAGATAAACGTGACGATAAAGTTGCAGACCGCCGGGTAGGCGTTCCGCATAGATGCTCCCAAGCTCCTTTCATGCTTGACATCAGCATGGGTGGTGGCTGCATTCGTGGAAAAGCACACTGGGCATTACCGGTCCATACCGCCTGTCCGCCCAATAAAGGTGCACAAAACAACGCACAAGCCCAAAACTCAAAAGAAAATTTTTTACGAAAGACTGTCTGCAGCGGTAATCGATGAACGATTATAATAGCACTTTCATAGGCATACTCCGCTCAGCAACTGATAAAAGTTTTGAGGTTTACCGGTAAGCTCAAAAACAATCGGTTTTCATAGAATTTTTTCACTCCTTTTTGGGAGTGTCAGGAGCCGCTCGGCGAAGTTTCATGTGCAAAAATTTCAAAATTTAAAAAACCACCCCGAGAAAGCGGAGCACGCCCTCCTTAGTAAGCCTCGCTCAGTGTGGGCGGGGATTGTGAACAGTCAGAAGCTAATTACAAAAGTCATTATTTGGTTCCAGAAGAGAATGGAAAGCAGAAAAAGCGAGAACCGATAGGAAATGTTCAGGCTTAGAAGGGCCCACACACATATTGGGCATTGCGTACCGCAATTGAATGGCGCGAGCGAATGAACAGCTTGGCGAGAGAAGGCGCAGCTACTATGATTGAGGCTTCAATCGAAAGTGCGTATATCAGTTCCAAGTAGATCTGGAGAAAGGAAAAGGGAGCAGTGGGGGATAGAGGAAATGGTTTCGCGGACGAAAGCATATGTGACTGCAGAAAACAGGGCATCAACCAAAATACTACCCCCTCCACAAAGGAAGGGATTTTCACTTCTGCTGCTTCTACGATAACAGCCTCCGCTATATAAGACAACCATTCGGTACACTCCGAGCCATTGCACGAGCTGCTGGCGTGGCAGCTGGACGTGTGCTCGTGCTCCTACCTCTGCACGTGCTCAGCAGGACCTGAGCACGCTTGAGTAGGATAGTAGCAGAACTGGAGGGCACAAAGGCTAGCATGTGGTAATGCTAATGCAACCAGAGTAGCAATCTATGGATGTTGTTCTGATTGTGATAGTACCCTCACCCTATACAAGACAACCATTTAGTACACCCCAAGCCATTGCTCAAGCTGCTCGCGTGGCAGCTGGACGTGAGCTTGCGCGTGGGTTGCTAAAGGAGGGTGATTTGCTTGGAACTCCTAATTACAATACATTTCTGCCGTGAACAATTTTATCCATGTTCTTTTCTTTCGAATGTGAAGATGTTCCGCGAACGCCTCAAGACTGGTAGAGGCACAGAACTTTCAGGTAGTCACCTTCGAGCAAGCCGTTGCATCCATATTCCGTTGATGGAACAAGGGATCTCACCTGAACAAAGTGATTGAGTAAAACTTCTCGAGTCAGAAACTTCTTTCAGATTATTGTCCTCATTTTGCATGGTTCCCTGCGCAGAACGACTGTTTCGCGTATGCAATTCTCTCACAACATTCATTGCTTTTCATTCGTTATGTTCACCACATTTCTCCACAGCTGTCGTTTACTGAGGTGCTGGCCGCAGATCGTCAAAAAATCCTGAGCCTTGATTGTCAGGATTTTCCAAAGGATCAGTTCGATAAGTGTTGCTGTGTTATCACCTTACTGCGGGTAGGAGTAAACATAAGCTTGAAAATGCGAGCTGTTCTGACTCACTTTTTCTTTCATTGTTTGACTTCCTGCACTGAGCGCCATGCGCACCTTCGTCTTTAGTGGTAAGCTGCGACCCGCGAAATTCCTGTGAAAAAATAGAATGTTCTAATTCAGAGAAAATTTAATGAAGAATCTACGAGCGTGCACGTACCTTCCTGACTCATACCTATCGTTAACATTGTTTTTCTCCAGACCCACCAAGTCGTAGCAAGCTTCATAAGATAGTTTGTTGTTCCAATCCTGAAATTGAAATTTGTCCTCAATAAGTCTAGCTGGGTATTTTATGGAAGATTTGTCTGGGAGACAACTTGTGGGTGCAGTAGGGAAAACACTAACCAGATTGCGGTTTAACATCCTGTTGAATGCGATATACCATTCACTGACTGCATCATACGTGAGGCATTTTTTAAGTGCCTCAGGATCTGAAAGTCAATGTACTTTTCCTGAGTAAAATTCGAGCGAGCCGGATTAGTGACACGAATGAGGCTAAAGCTTCCGCAAATCACAAAATCAAAACAACAGCGCTTACATTCAGTATTGGCGTTCACCAGAAGGAAGCACAATCCTAGCAGAGCGAACAACATTTCAGCTGTGGCATTTCAGTTCGCCTTTCACTACTTTTATAGGGCAGTAGTTCAGCGTTTTTACATTTCATTTCTGTCAGAGTCATATTCCAGTTGTCCTCAACAGCGTAGTATACTGTGCGCTTATTTTTCCTCAATTCAAATCAGTGCACGTGTTATGTATTCAGTAGATGAAAATTGTTTTGGAAATCGAGCCACACAGAAACATATTGATTCCGTTTTCCCTTGAATGCTCTACTGCTTGTCCGATGGTG